TTTTTAAATAATTAACATACGACGTTGGGTTTTACCTAAAACCCGACGTCGTATGTTAATTAATTAAATTTTTAAAAACTATACGACGCCAGCTTTACCCTAAAAGCCGACGTCGTATTTTTTTTTTATATATATTTGTTTTATGGTTTCTACCCCAACCTGTATCAATTTTCAGATCCTGCGCAGCTAGCAATTTAATATTCAACATCAACTAATTCATTAAACTAATTCAAACTATTAAACATGAAACTAATATAAAGAACACAATTCATTAAACTAATTCAAGCTACTAAACATAAAACTAATATAAGTAACACAATTCAGCAAAACTACTAAACATTAAGCCAATAAACATAAACTAATTTTAAACGTAAAGTATCAACTAAGAAGCGTTTTATTAACCCATTCATCAATAAGAAACTTAGACCATTTGTCTCTAACTTCATCAATCTCTTGTTTGTTGTAGGGCAATCTTCCTTGTCTTTCCAAAGCGTACAAAGTTCAAAAGAAATAAAAATAATAAATAAGCAAGTATTTTTAAACATTTGAAGAAAATAAATATATTATGAAATTACTTGCCTTATCCATTCCTTTGCTTAGGTTGTTGGAAACAATTTCCAACATGAACTTCATCACATAATAACAACATTCGGTGGTTCCTTTTTGTATAGCACACTACATTTGAATTACAATAAAATTAAAATAAATTAATAAAAAACAATAAGTTTGCATGTTTTACAAAGTGAATGAAGTACTTACCGAACATATAGTCCATTTTGGTGAACGATTTTGTTTCTTTCCACTCATCATGTTTGTTGCAGTCATACACCTATTAATATAAGACATAAAATATATATAAATACTTGGCATCACTAGTTTAATGATAACTATTAATTAATTATATAAATTTACATACGTTTCCATTATATGTTTAATGTCTTCACGCGGTCCATGACCAAGTGAATCAAACCAAAAAAATTCATTTAGTCCAGGCAAATCGCCATCAACATCCAATGCTCACTAGAAATAAATATTTATTAGTTTTAAGTGACTATAATATATAATAAAAATATATTATATTTAAGTATTTTTATTTAAAACGTAATTAATACTCACTTGAGAACATATGGGGCTAAGTATACAAATTTCTTCCCAGACTGCATGGTGGCATTTATATACGATTTTCTGTCCTCCATATTATTTATTTGTGGTTGAATCCGATATGGATCTAGGAAGCCATACATGTTTTTTTATGCCAACTCAAAACTAATGTAAATATCCATATTCACAAACACAACCAATTATATATAGATTACCAACTATATAAATATACAACTATTATGAATAAATAATACTAAAGAACTTATTAGCTCATAAAGAACTGAACTAGAGAAACATCGATGGTCTCCATTTTTAAGAAATGCATTATCTCATCACTTGCAAGGTGCAAGTCATAGTCAATGTTGCCCATAATACCACGAGCCACATGGACCACAAGATGGTGTTCAAAACGGCGAGCTATTGAAAAGGCATTTTTGCTTTCATCAGTCAAAGAATCTGGATCAACTATAGTGAATTGTTGATGTACGGATTGCACACCCGATTGAAAAGTCAATTTGGTCTCTTTTTTTGACTGTGAATTATAATACAAGTAAGAATTATTATTTTAAAAGTAAATTACTTACTATTTTAAAATAAAAATATTTTCAGTGTACATACCGCATCAGCTTCAGTACATAACTCTACCAGCTTCTTTGGCCAAGTAATAAAGTGTTGAATTGCATCACCTACAAGCTGAACCTCACTGGTGGGGATTGGTACATGTGCACTTGGATCACTAACTTCATTTACGCTCACCTTCACATCATTTATATCCAGTACAACCCCATGAACCTGTCCATCACTGTAAGCTATCCCATATGCCACTGGCCATCTAATTGGATCTTCTAAGAATAATTGACATCGTGCCCCTAACTGCATTAATTTTTAATTAAGATTCATATAAAATTTTATTGAAAATAATAATAAGATTAACTATAAACGAATACTTACAGCCGGTAAATTACTAAAAGGGTCCGGGGAACTAGCTTTGTCACTTCGAGATGGTAGCTCAGCATCGACACATACGTCATTCCCCTGCTTTGATTATACAGATTGGTGAACATGAGTCTGCAGAGAACTAAATTGTAGCATCATCTGAGTCATGCGTGCCTCAAATTGATCAGTTAATCGTTGACTCAATTCCTCATGCTTAGCAATATTTTGCTGATTTTGTTTTTCTAGCGCTAGTGCAACAGCAGCATCAAGACGTGCATCAACAGCAGCATCAACCAATCGTTGAACATATTCAGGAGTCTTTTGGCGACGTTTTGCATGGTCAAATACACTTTTGAAGCCATGTCCTCTTCCCATGGCTCTAACACATCCAGAATGCTCATCAGTACCTAATGCAACAGTCAATGAATCTTGTCTTCCCTCCTCAACAAATTCTCCTTGAGAAATTTGGAACTCAAGAGCATCATAACATATATAAAAATTATTCAATAATAATTACTATTACTTTAGTAACTGACAACATATTTACTTATAATTTTTTCTGCCACCAATCTTGTTGATTCAGTGCGATAATTTCCTGACTTGTCAATTCTTGCTTTCTTCCACTTTTTGGCTCTACGTGGAGGACTTGGAGGACTCATTGTATACGACGGATCTGCATCAGCACATGCTTGTTTTTCTTTCAACTTCTCATCCATCATCATCTTCTCCAACCTTTTATAACCTCCTCGAGCTAAAAGATGTGGATGAAGATTCTTAGCTTGTATGTCTTGATATTTTTTTCTTTTTGCCTATATAAATACAAAATATTAATCAAACTATTTCCATGTCCCTCATAATAATGATAGAGTTTATGTTCGAAATATTGATAGAATAATAATGATACCTCATATTCTGGACCTGTATACGACTTTACAAACTCATCCCATGTCTCTTGTTCAATGAAGTCATATTTTTTACATGGGTTCATACCTGCAAAACTACCGTATATAAACTTGCTCACCAATTTTGCTTTAAAATCTTTCCACCGATCACCTACATATTTTATCCATTCTTTCCTCATATCAGTTGTGTCGGGAATATCATAAGTATTCTGCAAAACAAAATTATTTATTAGTTAGAAATGTAATTATAGAAACTTTATGAATAAATCAAAATCTTAAAAAATTAAAAGTTACCAGGATTTGTTTCCAAATAGTACTCTTAATAGTTTCTAGGACATTCGACCATTCATCTATTGTGATAGGAGTATGGATTCGTCCCACTAATGCAACATAACTTTTAAATGCACTGCCTTCTGGCCCGTAGACAGGCTCCAATCCATCAAGCTCAATGTGGTGTTTCCCCAAAGTAGAACGCTGCAGAATGAGTTTTTGCATACGAGTGGCACCCCTCGTCTTAGAACTAGTATTACTACTTTGAGTAGTATGAGTACCTTGTGTAGTACCATCACCATTTGCTGAATCCATACGCCTATTTAGAAACAAAAATTATTAGAATATATAGAAGTACTACAATAAGAAAACTAAAAAACAAAATAAATAGTGGGCATTACATGTAATAATCAATTCTCCCATATCCCTTCATGATGATCATCTCGTAATGCATGTACTTCATCTATCTCATTATCAATAATAGTGGGCAATAAACTTGAAGAAAATGGTGGTATTTCCTCAATATCAAAACTAACATCTTCATTCTCATCTCTAGTAATTTGTCTCTTTCCATGAAGAACAATTGACCAGTTTTTGTCACAAGGATCACTAATATAAAAGACTTGTTTTGCTTGGGATGCCATTATGAACTGCTCATTTTTGTGCCCTTCGCGATTAAAATCTACAAGTGTAAATCCTAATTCATCAACTTTTACACCATGTTTATTATCTACCCATCTACATCGGAACACTGGCACCCTAAAGAAAACATAATCAACTTCTCATATTTCTTCAGTCACACCATAATATGACAACTCTGCAAACACAGAATTTGTATCTTTCAAACTACTGAAATGCATTGAATTTGCAACCAAAGTAACTCCACTGTTTTGCATAGTGCTCTTTTCATCTTGAGCTTTTGTATAAAAAGAAAACTCATTAATGTCATATCCATTATACCATATGACATCCAAACCAGGACCATGTGCTAACCATGAAACAGTTTCAGAAACATTATTCTCTTCAATAACTTTATTTTTGAACCGACGAATAAAAGTTCGATTATGTTCGCCCACAATCCACATGTCTGTCCTTCTGGGATTTTGCTCTCTAATCAATGCCTTGTGTTCATCTAAATACGTTTCGACTTCACTTGTATTATGCAAGATGTACAAGTGTGCCTCCTCAACATCTTCACGAGGCATAGTCTTCACTTTGACTCCTCGAGTACCTTCCCAGCAATTCTTCCTTCATATCGATTATTAGAAACACCAATAGCCTCTACCCCTGCCAAATATTCTGTACAAAACTCAGTAACCTCCTCTGCAACATAGCTTTCAACTATAGATGCTTCCGGCCTATATCGGTTCCTAACATAACCTTTTAATACTTTCATGTACCGTTCAAATGGGTACATCCACCTCAAATAAGTTGGACCATAATGTTTGATCTCTCTCACCAAATGCACAAGCAAATGAACTATGATATCAAAAAATGAAGGTGGAAAGTGCATCTCTAGCTGACACAGTGTAACAATAATGTCATTTTGCAATTCATCTAATTTGTCTGGATCAACAACATTCCCACATATTGCATTGAAAAAGAAACAAAGTCTTATGATGGTATATCTCAACTTTTTAGGCAATATGCCTCTAACAGCCACTGGCAATAGTTGTTGCATTAAGACATGACAATCATGAGACTTCAACCCCACCAACTTTAAATCTTGCATATTAACAAGTCTACTGATATTTGATGAATACCATTGTGGTACCTTTACTCCACGTAAACACTCACAAAAACTTATTTTCTCCTTTCTTGATAAAGTATGAGCAGCCGGAGGCAAATATGTTCTCTTATCCCCGCAACGTGGAGCTAATGTAGGTCGTATACACATTTCAACCAAATCCAATCTAGCATTGAGTCCATCTTTAGTCTTACCTTTTATGTCTAAAAGAGTTCCAACAAGACTATCACATACATTTTTCTCCACATGCATCACATCAATACTATGTCTCACATCTAGTGTCTTCCAATATGCAAGATCAAAGAATATAGATTTCTTTTTCCACGGACTCTTCTCATTTGTAGGTATCTCAACATTATATTTTGACCTCTTACCTCTTTGAGATTGAAGCTTTTGAGTCTTACCAAAAGTAACATTGATGCATTCAACTCGTTCATAAACTTGATTCCCAGTCAATGGTTGTGGAGCATCTGTATAGTCTTGTACCCCATTGAATGCCTTTTTTAATTTTCGATAAGGGTGAAATTTATCAAGAAATCTCCGATGCCCCATGTATACAGTCTTTCTACTATGAACAAGTTGATGATAACAGGTATTATCTTCACATATGGGGCATGCCTTATGACCTTTGACACTATATCCAGACAAGTTTCCATAAACTGGAAAGTCATTGATTGTGCAAAAAAAGCATTGCATGCAACTTAAAAGTCTCCTTCCGGTATGCGTCAAACACTAACACACCTTCATCCCATAATTGCTTCAAGTCATCAATCAAAGGTGCCAAAAAAAACATCTATATCACTACCTGGTTGTTTTGGCCCAGAAATCATCAAGCATAATAATATGTATTTGCGTTTCATACACAACCACGGGGGTAGATTATAAATTATCAACATAACTGGCCACGAGCTATGCTTACTACTTAGGTTCCTGTGGGGATTAATACCATCAGTACAAAGTCCAAGTCTAAGATTTCTCGACTCGTGGCCAAATTCAGGAAATACATTATCAAATGTTATCCATTGAGAAGAATCGGCCGGGTGTCGAAGCTTGCCATCGGAAATTCTTTCATCTGCATGTCATGTTAAGTTCTTCGCATCACTTGGATTTGCAAACATGTGCTTAAATCTTGGAAGAATTGGGAGATACCACAAAACTTTAGCTGGTGGACTTTTCAAACGTACTTTACCACTCTCTCTTGTTTTATAACGAGATGCCCCGCATATTGGACATGCATGCAAGTCTTTGTAATCATTCCTAAACAATATGCAATCGTTAGGACAAGCATGTATCTTTTTGTACCCCATACCCATGGGACACAACATCTTTTTGGCATCATACGTACTCTTGGGAAGTTCATTACCATCTGGAAGCATATCATTTACTATTTTATGTAATGCAGTAAAGCTCTTGTTGCTCCACCCATTCCCATCTTTCAAGTTGAATAATTTTAATACAGCAGATAATCGGGTATATTTACTACACTCTGGCCATAAAGGTTGTTTTGAATCATTCAATAATTCATCCAACCCATTTGACCGATTGGTAAACGCTTCTCCAACATCGCGAAATATTTCATCCAACCGATCTTCAGACTCATCATATTCATTGTCAACATACATGTTAGATGTTGTAGCCACATCGCTTTCACCGTGCCAAATCCATTGTGTATAATATGGATTAATCCCATTAACGATTAGATCATCATATATGTCCTCTTCACCTAACCTTTTCTAATTACAACATTTCGTACAAGGACAGAAGAACCTCTTATTCCTATTCGGAAGGTTATTCTTTGCAAACTGTAAAAAAATTCTAACTCCATATTCATATTCCTGACTAAGTCGATTAGCTTTAATCCAACTTTTATCCATCACAAGCCAATCTAAAATAATAATAACCCTAGTTAAACATTTGTTAACACTATTTTAACAAATTTTTATAATAATAACTACTACAGCAACCACACTCATTCTTAAAATTCAACATATATATATATATATATATATATATATATATATATATATATATATATATATATATATATATATATATATATATATATATATATATATATATATACAAAATAAATCCTAAATTTTCAAATATCAACACAATTCTATTTCTATTTCAATTCACAAAGGGCTTATCTTTTCGATTTTATTTAGTAATTAGGTTCTAAGGCAATTTATAAGCCATCTCATAATTATTTAGCTCAAATTAGGTAATACTAAAATTTATAAGTCATCTCATAAAAGAAATTGTCAAATTCTTTAGCTCAATCTTTCTTCACCTAAATAATTAAACTACTACAACAACTACGCTGGGATGACTTGTTGCAGTGGAGAGCTACAAGCTGATCCCAAATTGGGAGATGAGGCTTGGTCAGTGGTAGCTCTAAACTCTATGGAGGGAGGGGTTATTACTGATTGCTTGATGAGCCTGCTAGACAGATGGAGCTGAAGATCTGGGAGGTTGCAGATGAATATGATGAGGCTAATAGAGCCTGCAGAGGTATATTAAAGCTCATTGAGTGGAGGTATACCTCTGCCTTGGGGCTGATCCCTTGCTGGGATATGATGTCTCAAGCAGGGCCTGGTTCATTTGGGAGTTGAAGCTGGGATGAAATAAAGGGAATCAGGGCAGTACATTCTGAATTCTGAGCTGCAAAATAAGAATGGAGTTGGTAAGATATGCTATGCTGGGTTTGCAGCCATTTGCCAAAGCTTTTGTGGAGGGAATGGTTGCCATGGGACTGATCTTATCATGGGAAATGATGTCTTGTGTGTGCCTTATATAAAGTCTTTGATTTGTTGGATTCTGAGTGATGCAGAAATGGAATGGTCATGTTGATTAATTGGTAGAGCTTGAGGCAGAATTGAAATTTGAAATGGTCCTTGGAGTGAGCTCATGTTCTGAAATGGACTTTGGAATGTATGGATTTTGTGCAGCAAGATGAGAATAAGAAAGGTCTAAGCCTGATGGGGTTCTGATGCTGTTTGACTTGAGGATTTTGCATCATTAGAGCAAAGCTTACTCAGTGGAGCTCTAATGATGCCATGAGGTAGATTCCACTATGGAAAATGATATCTCATGCTTTATGAAAAAAGGGAGGCACAAGGGAGTCCACCATTTATGGTGGACTTGTTGAATCATGGGATAATCTGGAATGGTAAAATGAAGCTGTGGCTGGGAACACTGTTGTGGCTCTTGATGGGCCATGGAGGATGGTGGAGCTAAAATGATGGGTTAGTGGAATGAAATCTGACTGGGTCATGGAGTTACAGAGTTTTTTGCACTTTTAGTCCCACGACTATAGTGGCACTGGCAGAATTGATCTACGACTTTTGAACATTGCAATTTTAGTCCACGACTATTGATTTTTTTGCAAAAATAGTCCTTCCGGCTACTTTTCCGTCAAAATTTCACCGGAAAAAAAAAATCTCCATTTTTAGCCGGGTTAAAATTGACATTTTACTTATCTCAAAAAATTAAAAGAAAAAAATTGATATTTGACTACATACAATATTATTGGGCTACATACTACTGCCCCAGGCGGCGGAGTTCCTGGAGCAGGCAGGGCTGTTAGTAAGTGGCGGAGCGGCCGTGGCGTTCCCCGGGCTCCGGCAGCAGCATTGGAGTGGTACATGTACTCTGCCGCCTGGGGCAGTAGTATGTAGCCCAGTAATATTGTATGTAGTCAAATATCAATTTTTTTCTTTTAATTTTTTGAGATAAGTAAAATGTCAATTTTAACCCGACTAAAAATAGAGAATTTTTTTTTTCCGGTGAAATTTTGACGGAAAAGTGGCCGGAAGGACCATTTTTGCAAAAAAATCAATAGTCGTGGACTAAAATTGCAAGGTTCAAAAGTCATGGATCAATTCTGCCAGTGCCACTATAGTTGTGGGACTAAAAGTGCAAAAAACTCTGGAGTTACATGAGGCAAAAATGATGAAACATGGATGCATCAGGCATTTTGGAAAAAGATGAAGGCCGAATGGGCAATCTGGGACCAAATTGGGCCTTTTATTTGATGAGAATGGATCAATTAATGATGGTGAGCCTGGAGCATTGTTTTCTATGGCCCAGGTTGATCTACGGGGAATAGGCCGGTTGGCTTATGAAGGAGATGGAGCTGTGGCATGATCTATGGAGGGGATGAGGCCAATCGGCCCATGTGGTCTTAGGCTCTTGGGCCTTTCAAATTTGATAGATGGGCTTCTTTAATTAATTAGCCTAATGGCCTTGTGGCCCTGGGCCCTATGTTGTAGGCCGCATGGCCATTTTCTTATAGAGGCCGAATGGCCAAGGTTTTATGGCCTTGGCTCATTTTGATGAGGGCCTTATGGCCTCTTTGTTTGGAGGGCCGAATGGCCCATGTTTGAGTTAGGCACTTGGGCCTTTTGATAGTTTGTGGGGTGGTCACTTTTGGGCCACCCTTGTACATATTACATTCTTTTAGACATTGTGAGCCATGGTTCACTTTTGGGGCCATGGCGTCTTTGTAGAGGCATGCCTCCTTTTCAGTTGTTATGCCATGGAACCGTGTTCACCATGGTTGGTGAACACGGTTCCATACGACGCCGTTTTGAGTGAGTGGGACTAACGGTGCCCGTAAGTGGCACCGTTAACTCCCACCACTCATTTTTTTTTTTTTTTTAAATTAAACGCGCCAATAGCGTTTGCAGTTCCCACTACACCATTTCACTTCCTCTCCACGCAACGTCCATCACTCTGCTCTCTGAACTCCACTCTCGAGCTCTCTTCTCTCACTTCGTCTTCCACAGTCATTTCCTTCGATCACTCTCAAACACTCTGCTCCACAGCCATTCCTCTCTGCTCTCGCATTTCTCGTTCTCGCATTTCTCATTCTCGCATCTCTCGAACAAAACTTCGCGTTCTCCCATAGCTATCAAAGGAGACAGCCTCTCCATCGCTCATTCTCAACGTTGCTTCACTTGTCTTACGGGTATTTTGTATATGGTGTGTTTATGATTTAGGGTTTTTGTATTCCGTGTACATATTTTGAAATTTTAAAATGGAATTTTGAATGTAATGTTATGAGCTTATGAATGTATATCTGTAGCATTATATATGTGTAGATTAACCATTATGAATTGATTCGTATATGGTTTTTACTGCTGTTTATTCATTTTCTATGCAAGCTTTGAATGTCCATAACGTTTATTCACTTATGTATTTTATGTCATGCAAATATGTATTTTATGTCATGCAAATATGTATTTTCTGTGTGAGATTATGAATTTTCTATTGTGCCTATGAAATTACGGTTTTGCTGTTATGAACTTTCTTATATGTGGTTATGTATTTTCTGTTAGAGATTATGAATTTTCTCGTAGGAGAGTATGAATTCTGTATTGTGAGTTGTGAATTTTATGTTCTGTAGTTATGAATTTTCTGTGTTGCAGTTATGAACTTTCTGTTCTGGGGTTATGAATTTTCTGTTCTGAGGTTATGAATTTTCTTTGTGGGATATTATGAATTGTATGTTACTATACTATGAATTATATGTGACTGTTATTGATGGACAATATGGAATTATGGATTTTCTCATATGAGATTATGAATTCTACAATGTGAGTTGTGAATTTTCTGTTCTGTATTGTAGTTATGAACTTTCTGTTCTAAGGTTATGAATTTTCTGTTATGATATTATGAATTTTCTTTGTGATATTATGAATTTTATGTTACTATATTATCAATTATGTGTAACTGTTATTTTGATGGACAATATATTCTTTTCGGTAGAGCATGGCTGGATTTATTCGGCACTCCCCATCCCCCCTCTACTGAAATAAGGAATATATTTTCCATCAATCTATATTATATGTTGTATATGAGTTACTTGCTTTCTAACGTTTTTAATAAAAGCAATGGACACTGCTCAACGAAGGAGAACACGCTCACAAACAAAGGCAGTCTTGAGCTCTCAAGCTGCAGAACCATCACAACCCTCACAGATGACAGCTGAACAAAACACTGCAGTCAAACCTACAACAAAAAACAAGAGAAAACGAACAACAAGGGCTGTACTTGACTCACAGGCTGCTCAACCATCCCAGCAGCAGTCTGATGACCTGCTCGAGCAAGAAGTTATTAGAGAAAAGAGATCAAAGCAGATAAATGACAGACATAGGGGCAAAACAGCCATTGGAGGTGATTGTGTAGAAGGGAGTTCTACTCCCTACTTCAGCACACGGATGGGACCAAAGACCATGTTTAGGCTTGTACAACAACTACTGCCAGAACAAAAACAATCTGTCCGTGATATTGGTTTTGGAGCCCTGTTGGACCTTCAATTGTGTGCAAATGAGTCACAATTAGTCCAGTATTTGATAGCCAACTTTGAGGTTTTCCAAACACATTTCAAGTTGGAGAACGACAAGCTCACAGTTGATGAAGAGGACGTTGAGTACACTCTTGGCATTCCAAGAGGAGAAAAGAAGGTTGTTGAGGCCCCAAAATATGATGAACAGGGGACACCGGAATACAGGGCTCTCTTGAAAAGCTGGAGGGAAAGATGGAATATTAAGCTTGGTTCCCCAATCACTACCCAGATGGGAGATGTCATAGTTCAAAGGGGAGATTCTGGAGATGACTTTAAGAGAGACTTCATGGTCTTGACTGTTTCGTGCATGATGAGGGGATTTCAGACACGCTACTGCAACAACAGAATCCTCAACTCCTTGATTAATGTTGATGAGATAAAGGAGTACAACTGGTGTGGCTACACCTACAACTCTCTGATCAAGTCCATCGAGCAGTACAGGAAGAAAAGTAATAGCTTCTTTACTAGACCAATGACATTCATATTGGTAAGCTCTAGCTCCACTTATGAATCTTATGATATTCAGATTGTAAATTATATGTGTTAGATTATGAATTTTCTTCTATGTGATTATGAATTTTTCTCTATGTGATTAAGAATTTTCCTCTATATGATTATGAATTTTCCTTTATGTCATTATGCATCTTCCTCTATGTGATTATGAATTTAGAGTATGTACTTATGAATCTTATGCTGTTTAGATTTTATGAGAATTATATGTGTCATATTATGAATTTTCCTTTATGTGCTTGTGAATTTTCCTTTATGTGCTTATGAATTTTCCTGTATGTGATTATGAATTTACAGTATGTACTTATGAATTTTATGCTATTTAGATTTTGTGAGAATTGTATTTGTCAGGTTATGAATTTTCCTTTATTTGATTATGAATGTTCCTTTATGTAATTATGAATTTTCCTTGTTGTCATTATGAATGTTCTTTTAATATTATGCAATAATGAATCTCATAATAGAAAGTTCATAATTGCATAACATAAAATCCATAATACGATAGTTGAATATAATGTTCATATGGATTATGAATTTTCTATTATGATATTATGAATTTTCTGTAGTGTAATTATGAATTTTGTGATTATAACTTTTTTATTTTACCTTTTTCTTCAACATTGTAGCTATTCTACTTTGATCGGGTCCAATTCAAAGGAATGAGCGTTCAAAGAACATATCCAAGCATTACTGCATGGACAAATAAACTTGCACGGCAAAGGGTTTCCGCTGAGAAAAGGTCGGGCGGATATGGTAAAGGGAAAGTTATCCCTCGTATTGCAAAGCCTACTGCTGATTGTATCGCTTCTACTTCCGCCCAACCAGTCCCAACCATCTCTGTGCCGCCATCTAGTGTTGATAGGGTTACACGGGTTCTACAACGCCTTGCTGCTGATGTCTTGGAATTCGGTGAGGCTATGGCTGAAGTTGGCAAACAAAACGCCCCAGTGGATGTTATGAAGGCTGCATTTTCTGGGATTTCCACCATGATTGGCGTTGCAAGCACGATAGAAAGACCACCAACTCCAACCTCCTCTCAACTTGACGACATCTTCTTTGGCCAAGAGTCTTTCACAAAGGCTGTTGATGCCTTGGTTGAAGCCTTCCAAAAGACCAATCGGCAAATGGAGATTGACCCTCCCTCATTTGATTTAGGGATTTCTTATACCCCGGCACCATTGGTTGATGAACCATGTGAGCAAAGTGCAATGGATGACGATGAATTGGATGCCCTTGTTGAGAACATTGTGAAAGACACTCCTGGTGCTGCTGATGCTGCTACACTCTCTACTACTCCTACCGCTATCCCTGCTACAACCCCTGCTGCTACGCATGGTGCTACGGCTGTTTCTTCCCCTGCTGCTTTCCCTACTCCTACACATGTTCCTACCACTGCTGCTACCCCTACTGCTTCATCTTCTGAAACATATGCTGCTACCCCTGCTACATCAAGTTCTGAAAGACGAGAAATAACTCCATTGATCAAGGTTCCATTCGCCAGAGATGTCCCTGATGCTGCTAATACTTCTACGCCTGCTGCTACACTACCTGCTACCCTCGACGATATTGATAGGTAAACTAATTAGAATATGAAATTGTGTTATGAACTTTCTGATATTATATTATGACTTTTCTTCTGAAATATTATTAATTTTCACATATGAGATTATGAGTTTTCTATTATGAGTATTAAATTACAGTTTTGATATTATGAACTTTCTGATATGCAATTATGTATTTTCTGTTCTGTATTTATGAATTTTCTGTACTGCAGTTATGAACTTTCTGACCTGAAATTGTGCAACTATGATGATATTAACTAGCTTCGTGTGTTTACAGTGCATTTCTGGATAGTGAATCTGATGTCGAGGATGTCACCAAGCGAAAGAGACCAGTCCGGAAATACAAAAACATCCCGTTAAACTTGAGGTCACCTTTTTGGACAAAGAATGTGCCATTTGACCATAATGCCAGTGTGACCGAGAGGGCCGTATCAAACTACGCCTTCATGGATGCTTCTACAGATCATCCAGTGGAGTATGTTTGACTCTAACCATTTAGAAAACTTTTTATTTTCATGAATATTTCACATTTATAACCATATGTTAATTTATTTACCTATTTATCAAAATTTTTTGTTCATGTAGTGAAACTCTGTTTATCTTTGATGATTTCTCAATGACAAGAGGAGATTTCCACACCCTCCGCAGCGGTGAAATTTTTAACACATTCATAGATGTATGGGCGTTGAAGCTTACACTCCTCAACACAAAACGGGCGTTGGGGAAGCCAAAGTGCATCTATTTTAGCACGTTGGTACATGTAAGTTAATAACAACAATTTTTACTCTGCTCACTTCTGAATTTCATGTTAAACCATTCTGTATTTTATGTCATGTAAATATGTATTTTCTGTTTGTGATTATGAATTTTCTATTGTGAGTTTATAAAGATACATTTTTGATATTATGAACTTTCTGATGTGAGATTATGTATTTTCTGTGTGAGATTATGAATTTTCCCATATGGCATTATGAATTTTCTATTTGTGAGTTATGAAATTACAACTTTGATATTATGAATTTTCTGTTTTGTTGTTATGTATTTTCTTTGTAATATTGTGGATTTTATGTTATGATATCATGAATTACGTATGACTGCCATTACATATTGCACAACTTATCATTGATACGTATTTTTTTCCCCTTAGCTTCAACTCGACCCATCTGAACAGTGGATGAAGAATCTTCCGCTTCAAAAGTGGAAGGATAATTTCAATGAGCGATTACAGTATGAGATTTCAAAATTTGAAAATCTTGATGTCAATGATGCCTGATTTGGTAATTTATAATTACCCACCTTCAACATTTATTCATTAATTACATATTTCTTCTCTATTCTAACTACTTCTTCTTTTGATGTTAGCTATTTTTCCCCGTGCTTCGACACGAACACTACTTTGTTGTCTGCATCAACACCATCTCAAAAAGTGTTGAAATCATTGACAACAAGATGTTGCCTAAGGGTGTTACTGAAGCTGACAAGTATGAAGATTGCCCAAATCTACTGGTAACTTAACCTTAAACTTGACCTTTCAAACGTTTGTTATACATTTCATGTGAATCATTATCACACTAGTTTCATTTTTGTCCAGATGAATGCTTTGAAAGAGTACTTGACTGCAGAAAAATTCCCCCTACTCCGTAAGATACAAAACCTTCCTGTATCATACTTGGCCATTCCTTGGAAGGAGCTTGACAATGTCATTGATTGTGGCATATATGTCATGCGACACATGGAGTCCTACAAGGGGAATGTTCAAGATTGGGACAGTGGATTCAAGATAGGCACCCATGTAAATGTAAGAGTATAAGATATATTAATTTCAACTTAGATTTGTTTTTTTTTTTTTTTTGTTTTTTAACATCTTTTTTTTTTTTTTTTGAAGGCTGACTTCATTTGGGAGCTTAGAGCTAAATACGCATCAAACATTATCACATGGGGTAGGAACTCTGAAAGATTGCGAGTTATGAAGGCAGCCAAGGATCTTTCAAAAAAGAAATGAAACTATACCGCTTTTTGGTGTTTGAATATGTTGTGAACATGAAGCAAATCTTGACTGTTGGTACCCTAGATTGTGAATCTCTCATTTTGTAATGTGCACAGATATTTTGCACCTATGAATATACAATCTATTGCTCTTAATTCAGATTACATGTGGATCATGTAGAGTTTATGAATTTTCAACTACCATATTATGAATTTTCTATTATGCAATTATGAACTTTCTTTTATGAGATTATGAATGTATACGTGTTAGCTATAACTGAAATTCATTATTACATAACATTAAAATAACATTCATAATGACAACAAGGAAAATTCATAATCACATAAAGTAACATTCATAATCAAATAAAGGAAAATTCATAATCTGAGACATAATTCTCATAAAATCTTAATAGCATAAAATTCATAAGCACATACTCTAAATTCATAATCACATATAGGAAAATTCATAATCACATAAAGGAAAATTCATAATCAGATAAAGGAAGATTCATAATCTGAGACATAAAATTCATAAGAACATACTGTAAATTCATAATCACATAGAGGAAAATTCATAAACTGGTAAAGGAAAGTTCATAAACTGGTAAATGAAAGTTCATAAACTGGTAAAGGAAAATTCATAATCTGACACATAATTCTCATCCTATATCTAAAAATCATAAAATTCATAAGTACATACTGTTAACACGATCTCAATCTATAGCTACATCGTGGTCTACATTCTTATTAAAATGAACAAATTGTGAACCCCCGGTGCTTGGATGTACAAGATATCCATCACGAGCAATCTCTGAAATATTTTCCAAGACCAATGATTGGACAGAGCCCTTTGTAATTGAAGCAAGCTTGTTTGCAGCACTCTTTCTTCCCCTTGCTGCATTGTACTTCTTCTCAATAACACTACTACTCCTTTTATTTCTCACACCTTTACCCCTCCGGCTTGAGGGGTCTTGGACAATACCACTTGACGAAGACACAGCACCCTCCTCAGTGTTCACATCCCCAATCTCAGCTTCAATGTTTTTCCTTGCATTCTCAACGGCTTCATCACAGAATTGTCTAGCAACACTGTTATCTTGGCTAGAAACAATAAGCCTTTGAAATTTCCTACTAATCTCAACAGCCCAAATTGAAGAAGGGACACCACCATTATAAAACACAGATGCAATGTCCACATTTCTACCCTCAACAACCTTTTTAGTCCATCTTTTT